TTCGAGTCACTTTCAGTGGTAGTCCAATTACAGTTATCATAGTGTTCTCTGATGTCCGCCTGTCGTGCTGAGTCTGTCTCCTGTGTGTCATTGCGAAAGATAGCTTCAAGTATGTTGCCCAAAATTTCTTCGCTAGTGGTGCCAAGTTGCGAAGCTGCTAACTGTAGTGGACGAAATACTTTCGCACAGGCTACTTTCTGTACCTTGCCATAATGCTCTATGACTCTGCTGCAATGGTTTTGCCACGCTTCCAGTTTGCTTATTAATGATTTAGTTTTTTGTAACTAGTGTGTTCCATTCTGTAAAGCTGCATTCTACTTTGCCTGACAGCAGGGTCTATTTCTGCCTGTGCTCTTCTGCGTAAAAGACTATCTTACACATTCTGCTAGCCCCAAAAATTATATATGATAAATGTTTAACCTTCCAGCACGCACGCTTAAAAATTTTACATGAGCACGCGCGCGTCGTATTTTTTACGACATCCATTATTTTACCATTTTTGGTACAAAAAAACGACAGAAATGAGTGAATATTGATAATAAATTTGTTAAGGAATAAAATATCAATCTTATTATTGCAAAATACAAATGATATCACATTCAAATATAAGTAAATTATTTTAAAGTTCTTATGTTAGCGAGATGGAAATGCAGTGATGTATTTCATTATTGAAAATTTTAAATTTATTATTTAATAATTATATTTTAATATCGAAGCTAAATTTAATATTCATCAAAGGCAAGTATAGACAAATAAAAAAGTAAAACACATTGGTAGGAAGAAAAGTAAGTTTTAGCATTACTTACTTCTGCAAGGAAATATACTTCTTACTGGTTACAAAACGCACTTTAAACTAACTTTAATGTATTTTTATTTATTTCTAAAACATAGAAATAAAAGTAAATAAGGAATGGAAATTGCTATTGTTCTCTCATCCAAAGGTTTCCTTGTCTTCATCAGAAAATCCTTTACTGGTTACAAAAACGCACTTTAAACTAACTTTAATGTTTTTATTTATTTCTAAAAAATAGAAATAAAAGAAAATAAGGAATGGAAATTGCTATTGTTCTCTCATCCAAAGGTTTCCTTGTCTTCATCAGAAAATCCTTAAAGAATTCGAGCAAAATCAGCTGGTTGCACATATTTTTTTGCCATGAAAACCGATATAAAATTTACAGAGCCAAATGTATTCAAATTAAAATAATACATGGCAATTAATAACACAAAATTATAAAATATTTGAGAAAAAAATATTTTCCGAATTTTTAACTTTTATGAAAAAGCTGTCATGTAGCACAAAAGCCCAGTTAAAAAAAAAAAAGGTCAAATGACTTCCTGTTGGCACATTCCATGATGTGGGAAAGGGTAAAAAGGAGGAATAGAAATGACCTTCAGACGTCTCAGCTTCGATATGCGAAAAATGTGCATTAGAAACGGAATTTGTCATAAATTTATTGCATACACGTGCGTGCTGGAAGGTTAAATAAATCTCCTTCCCTGCCAAAATAAAGTCCTCAGACATACTAAAAGCTATTACTGTGTGATGCATTTCATTGTTTTTTCTTTCTTAGGAAGTAGGAGGTAGCATGAAATGTTTAGTAGTCTAAATATTACTATTGTCAGTAAAGTTCGCAGGACTGTTGCCATAATTAGTAATGTTCAGCTCACCAATTAATGATCCTTGGTCTAGTCCAAATAATGTTCTCTGCTTACTGTACATAGCTGTCAGCTGTTTTAGCTTCTCAGAAGCAAGCAATGAAAGCTTCTTCTAAAGTGCTATCCAGCTGAACTGTCACAGCTTTTTAGATTTCTACAATATTTTGACATTTCAGGCTATTTCTCAGCATGAAGATAAAAAGAAGTCATTTATGACAAATCATGAGAATATAGAGGATGTAGGAAATCGTGATGTTTTTGTACTGGTACCATTGCCTAGATACTTTGAAATCAAGTTATCTGAATTGTCTAATGGCAATATTCGCAATAAAGTTCGCAGGACTGTTGCCATAATTAGTAATGTTCAGCTGACCAATTAATGATCCTTGGTCTAGTCCAAATAATGTTCTCTGCTTACTGTACATAGCTGTCAGCTGTTTTAGCTTCTCAGAAGCAAGCAATGAAAGCTTCTTCTAAAGTGCTATCCAGCTGAACTGTCACAGCTTTTTAGATTTCTACAATATTCTGACATTTCAGGCTATTTCTCAGCATGAAGATAAAAAGAAGTCATTTATGACAAATCATGAGAATATAGAGGATGTAGGAATCGTGATGTTTTTGGTCTGGTACCATTGCCTAGATACTTTAAATCAAGTCTCTGAATTGTCTAATGGCAATATCGCATAAAGTTTCGCAGGACTGTTTGCCATAATTAGTAATGTTCAGCTGACCAATAATGATCCTTGGTCTAGTCCAATAATGTTCTCTGCTTACTGTACATAGCTGTCAGCTGTTTTAGCTTCTCAGAAGCAAGCAATGAAGCTTCTTCTAAAGTGCTATCCAGCTGAACTGTCACAGCTTTTTAGATTTCTACAATATTCTGACACTTCAGGCTATTTCTCAGCATGAAGATAAAAAGAAGTCATTTATGACAAATCATGAGAATATAGAGGATGTAGGAAATCGTGATGTTTTTGTACTGGTACCATTGCCTAGATACTTTGAAATCAAGTTATCTGAATTGTCTAATGGCAATATTCCAATACCTTAACATAAAAGCTGTGGCTCCATCATCTGACTTCGAGACAAGAATTCATTGTGCTGTTCACTTCTTGTATGAATAAATATTTTGAACATTGTCGTCATTCTCCATAGTTGTCATTACTTTCCTCCCCCCCCTCCAGGTTTTTTGTAAACCATGGCCTCATTTAGTCTGAATGCTTTGTTTGAGGGCACATTCAAAGCAATAAATATCATTTTTAATGATAATTTTGGGATGAATATTGTATTATTTCTGCCCATTTCCAATGTTCGATAGCATTTGTACTTCTGTTCCTGTATCTTTCTTCTTTTTTAATAAGGACATGAAATCTGTTGACAGACATTTCTATTTGTGTCAAACACATCTCTGTTCATTCCTTATTCCGTTTCTTCAGTGATCTGTGCTATTGAAGGCCAGCTTAATCGAATATCATCTTCCATTGAAGTCTTGTTTCCCTTAAACATCTTCTACCATTCAAATATGTGGTGCTTTTGATAATGCCTGGCTATTTTGCTGGCTTGCTGTAATTGTTTAAAATTAGGCAAAAAAGCAATCTTAGGTTAGTATAGGTTTTGAAATCATTACATGCATAAAAAATATAATTCCTGAATTATATCCCATGTTGCTGTAGAAATTTTTATCAGCTTAACCCCTTTGCGCCGACTGTCACGTATACGTGCCAGCAACGAACGCACTTATCTACCGGCCGACACGCAGGCGTGCCAGAGCAATGTTGCGTTTTCTACCAAATGTCACGTGTTTGTGCCAGTACCTTGGAACGTTTTTCAAACTATAATTTCTGCCACAAAATGGCACTGTATGCCCATATGGTTTCAGAGAGCTTCTACTCGAAATGAGAGAAGCATGACTCACATACACGTGTTTTTGATTATATAAACAAACGGGGAACTAAATGTTTCCGAATGGCGTGATTTATGACGTCTCTTTAAATCGCACTTTATTCGCACGTGGTAGTTGTTTATTGTAAGTAGAAGTTTTATGCGCTAAAGCGTTGAGTATTCGGTTTACAGTTCAGTTTTAGAAAATAATTAGATCTTGTTAGACGTGAATTCTTTCTGTTTTTTCTGTTTTTACCGTTTCAATGTCGAAGCGTCGAAATGTTTAACAGACAGGAAATAGCAGAAATGATGCAAAATATTTCAGAATTGATTCTGAAATTCTGATATTCTGAATTGATTCTGAAAGATTAACTGAAAGACATTTTCCAAAACTTTGTTCAGAAGAGACTGATAAAAAATGAGACGACGATGCTCGTTTGTTCACATTCCGGAAAAATCCTCCAAAACGGCAATGAGTTATTACGAGTTCAAGGAATGTAACGTAGGACTGTGTGTAATCCTGTTTTAAAATTTTTTGTACGAAAGAGAATTTTAAGTAATATATTTAGTTTTCATATGTATAATTTAAAATCATAAAATGGTGAGTAATTAAAATAAAATGGGTAAATATGATTTACACAAAAATAAGGTAATTAAAGTATATAATATAAAATATCTATAAAGCATAAGCCGTTAAATACTCATAGAGCATTATTAAACATGGGTTGATACTTTGAAAATTTCATTGATTTAGGCTTAGTAGCAAAAAAGCTCCTGGCCCTGGAGAGACGCTCGCGGAAGACACTGCCAACCTCCGCGATAAGCGCACGTTTTCGCTACCCGGGTCGAAGGGGTTAATGTTGAAGTTAAGGTTAACTCTGCTCAAATTTCATGACAAACATGTCCTTCATATAGCTCCAAGTAGATGTACCAACAGCTGAAACTTTTTCTTTCTTTCTTTCCCCCCCCCCTTCAAATTCAGCCTCTTACATGATGAATGCATTAAAACCTCATTCACTTGTTTAATTCTGCTTTATAATTCAAAAATGTATGCACCTAATTTACATCACCGTTTACATTTTTCATGTTGTTTGCTATTACTTATATTACTGATAATCTAAAGAAGCTTTTATTTTACCTAATATTATAATATATTTAGTTTAGATATTGTTTTATTGTGTGCTCTTGAGTGCATGAAATAATTTGTGTAATGTTTTTATAATTATTCATGTTTTCTGTGATCAGGCTTTCCTGAAAATCCATTTAGTTATTTTCATTAAGTATAATTTACTATTTTTATTATGTGCTCATGTAATACATGCTCATGGTTTATGGTTGATTATTCATATATTTTAAGTAAGATAAATTTACTATGCTAACTTATGCTGCTAATTCTGTGCATGTAATTTTATAATCATCCATAATATTAACTTATTTTTATTCAAATGTGTATTTTATTATAGGGCACATTTGGTGTCATTTGTCAAAGATTATAGGTCACAGAGAAAGGGAAAACTGTCGGGTTTAACACTAGAGACTATAATTAATGAAGTCAGTGAATTTATTGAATCACAAGGAAAAGCAGAGTGCAGTGTAAGCTTTTTCAGTTGATTTATTCCTTAATCTGTATAAAATATAGCTAGTATTCTGCATACAAACCTAAATAAATGTTTTACCTTTTTATTATAATATATAGGCCGACTGTGACTACTGTATTGAGCATACAGAGAATTTGCTCAAGGCTTCTCATGGATCTGCTGTTATTTTTATGTGTTACAAATACTAGCTATGCAGTAAATAATGCATTAAAAAAGCAAGTATGACTATGTAGCAAAATGAAAGGACAATTTAAATTTGTATTCTGTCATATAAATTTGTAATTAATTAGAGAATTATATAATTTACCATTAATAACGTAACCATATAAGTAGGATCCCAAAATTCATCCACTTTCAAATTAATAAATACCCTTGTTCTTAACTGCACTTTTACAAGTGCTCATACAACTTCTGAGAGCATTTTTATAGACCTTTTGTAAGGATTGTTGTGTCTTATCTCAAATATTTTTACACAATACCATTTCTGCAGATTGTATTTCATTAGTGGAAAGTAAGATTGCAAGTTTATGCTTAAATATTTAAAACCACTGGTTATAACCAACATGACATCAATTACTGCCTGCCATAAAATTGACAATAACTGGCAAAATTTCAAAATAATTATTAAACAGAAACTTATTGAAATACAATAAATAACAGAGGAAAATATATTTTAAAACATAAACAAATTGAGCTACAATTTTTATAAAAAGATTACCTAGCAGCAGATTTGTCCAGATCTTCTCCATGAAAAGTAGTCTGCAGCTGAAGAACAATTTTGTTGCTGTTTCAAAATCCTAGGTACTTCTTAATTTATTATGAATAAATGAAAAGATGGAGAATATTTTAAACTCACCTGTACTTGCAAGCAGTTTCATTGTTGTCCAAACACAAGTCATGAAATCTGCATTTGCAGTTGTTTTCTTTAAACTTAACTGCTGTGTGAAGACTGAAATATTTCGTAAGAGTTCATTGGAAAAATATGTAATAGGTGATTTTAATTGAAAAGCTATGGTATAAGACACAAAGTAATCCATTGATACTTTCTTCTCTCTCATTTTAGATACCATATACATGGAGGGAGGGTTTTATAATGCTAAGTAGTAATTTTGTACAGCTGGGAATGCATTTCTTGTGAATTAATTAGCATTATTATTACAAAAAATTTGAATTAAAAGTTTTTTAAATTTTAGTGATTTGGAGTACAACATTACATCAATTTCTTTACCAAAAATGAATGTAAGTACACGAGAAAATCTACAAATGGAGTTAGTTAGTTTACACTGTAATGTAAATCTTATTCAAAGATTTTAAAATACAAATTTGATTAACTTTTATTTGCACTAGTCCAAAGTTACAAATTTTGTAACTTTGGTTACAAATTTTTGCAGTAAGAATAATTACATTGTAATTTGGGAGTACATTTGCATGTGAACAGTTCCCTTCCCCCCATAGTTAAAAATTAATAAGTCCCAAGAAAAAAGAACCCAGATGGCTAATGAGTATCTATAATTCATGTAGATGCTTTCTAGGAACTTTTTCCTGAGACTACAGACTTTATCAAAATCAAAATGGTGGGAGGTGTTGTAACTGAAATTTGCAACAAGGAATAAATTCAGAGTTATTTGCATACGAGTATGTATATTTTCTGTATGAGGCAGAGAAAAATGTAATAAATAAAAGGAAGAGAATAAGATTGACATTACTTATTCACAAGTTTTATCCTTCTTGGGAAATTTTTGGTAATGTATTTAGTTTTAGTTAAAAGTAAGTTCTTTAATGGTCTTCAATATATTTATTTGAATAAATGTCAGTCTAAAAACTGTAAATATGTTTGAATACCAAAGTGTAACCAATATAAATTTCTCGGAGATAGAGTTTAGATAATAAATAAAAAAATAAATCTGAATATTTTGGTGACATTATTATTATTACTGTTTTATGCATGTCTTTACAAATATGTAGTCAATTATTTTGCTTGAAGCAAAAAATTAGGGGGAATTAAAAATCCTACATATATATTTTGTTTTTTATTTGGGCCCTCAGTTGCTTTTAAATCTTGCATTCAGCCCATTTGCAGTTTGAGTTTTTTTTTTTTTTTTTTTTTTTTTTTTAAAGAGCACTGCTGTACAGTATTTGACTCTGTACTTACTGTTTCTCAGCATTAGTGTATTCCTTTAAGCCAAGTACTTTCTCTGCCATAATTTCTGAAATATTTTTTGTTGTATACCTGTTTCATAACAGATGTTCAGATGCTAGAGTAATACCTTGCATAGGAAGATTAAGATATGCAGAACTGGCATAATGCCAAGGTGCATAATATGCATGTTGACTATAACAGAAGTTGTAAGAACCGAAAAGCCTCCTTTTCTCTCTCATTTATGTTATTTTATGTTCACTATAACAAGAGCTTTCATTTTATCCTAATATTCTTTTTCTGCTTATACTATTACTGCCTTAGCTATCTATCTGTACAAAATTATTTACAGTTCCCTCCCCCCCCTTGAGCGCGTGTATTAGCAGAATTAAAGAAAATATGTGCATTCAGTTTCTAATGCTGTTCATACTTATATGCTCAGTGCCAGTATGAAGAGTTAGTAACAATTTCTGCATTATAGATGGATGTTATTCCTGCTGTCAAGAGCCACTGTAAATATTTTACTGTGGACTTTCTTTTCAATCTCTGACTTAATTCCTCATACACTCATCTGTTCAACACATTGCTAAGCATTTAATATTTATTGATTTGTGAATTATCAAGGTAGTTATTTCCTCTTAGGGGGGGTGTAACATAGTGTTAGCAAACTGATCATTTATGTTAAAGATTGATGCTATGGCTAGGACAACTTCAAAATTTGTCTTGTGTGTAAATATGTACTGCTTGAGTATGTGCAAAAACATTTCCATTAATCTAACAAACTATTAAATCAAAGAAATAATTTCAATAAAATATTAATTAGTTTATATTTTTTGCCCTGAAATGAAACAGAAATTAAGGTATTAACAGATATAATTCTTTACATTTGTCTAATACAAGATTTGCATCTGCCCTTTCGTATCAAAAGGAAGTCTTACAACTCTTCGTGAAACTTATACTAGGTGCCTATGGATCTGAATTTCTTTTCATAGACACACCATTTCATGCCCATATCAAGCATACCTGCTCAATGAATGTTTTGAATCAGCATTGAACAAATAAAACCTTTTTTTTTTAATTAAATCTTCTAGAAAACTTACATGCACCTAAAACAGATGCTTAGCATGCACCTAAAACAGATGCTTAGCATGCACCTAAAACAGATGCTACTTGGAAAAATTCTCCTTTTAAAAATCTGTCTTTTGAAGACTGTATTGTTAGAAAAGTGTAATTTACTCTTCTAAAACTCTAATTAACTACCTCACTAAGAGCATGAAATCGTGTTGTTATTTATATGTCTGAGTTGGGAGTTATCCCATTCCATGTTAATGCAAAAAATCAGCATTTGTTTCTAAAATATTTGTGGGGAGAGGAAATTTTCATGAAGTATTTGATTTTTAGTTATGTATTTATATGTTATGATAGATGTTAGTGTAAATAAATTCATGCAATTATTGTTCAGTAATTTTTGAAAAATCAGTTTTTCATTCATGTTAACACAATTTTGGACACCATTGTATGTTATTTTTGTTATGCAATGACATTAAAATACTCGTTACTTCTTACAGAGAATTTAATTTATGTATTAAGTGATTTAAGTAAGCATATACATACTTCAGGCAAAGGGTAAGTTATTCAAAGATGATTCATAAATGCACAGTAGTGTTGGAGTGGAAACAGATTTGTATAGAATGTATATAGTTGTGGAACAGGTAAAACCTCTGTTTGAAGAATTTGGCATTCGGGAATAAAAGAGGAATCAATCAACATAGTTAGCCTTTCCTGCAGTTAAATGAAACTAAGATGATATCCCATGAACTGCCTCTGTATCAGGCAAGAGAATCAGGTGATGTCCAAAATTCTCAATAGAGGAGGATATACAGACTCGGCTTGCCACAGCTCAGAGCACCAATCACAAAGTGCACAGAATTTAAAAACTCTCATTTAAGCCCCCGGTGCTGAAATGGCAATCCAGGGCCAGCACTCACAGATTAAAAGAGGCCATGAAGAAGGGGGGAATATTGTTAATGGCCATCATGCTACCTACTTGGATGGCCAAAACCTCTACCAGCCAGGACAACATTTCTAGCAGTATATATGAGTTAAATATATGCCCCCAGAGTGGCTACTGTCTTGTAAAATACTCAGTGTATGCAACCTCAGGGTGTGACTGCAGAGGAAATAGTATAGAAGGTTTTAGTAATTTTGAGTTAGCAGATACTCATCTAGCATATGGAGCAACTGATTATAATGGACAAGCTGCTAGGTGCCTGTACACTGAGCAGTACAAAAATACGTGAATTCTGAGTCACAAGCTGTTTCCATGGCACATCGAAAATTGTGCAATATGAGATCTTTTGGAACGAGAAAAAAAAATCAAGAACAAATGACATGGATACCTGAAGCAGAAGAGATAGTGCTCTTATGCAGAAAGGAATCCAGCTCAGCACGCACACAAGCGATCGCTACCTGTTTCCCAATTCATTGTCTGGAGAATCCTGCATTCAAACCACTTGTAGATCCATACCATGACCATACAAGAACTGCTTCCTGCTGACTGGTAGAAGCAAAATGCGCAATGAAACCCCATCTTCCAGCTGCTATTCACTGACTAGACGCACTTTAGAAGATAAGGCTGCTAGACACATGTATGGGCAGTGGAACCCCAGCGTTAGGGGAACATGTGCAGCACACCACCAGTTTTCTGTCCGTGTTTGAATAGGCATTGTTGGTGACCACCTAATAGGCATAGGCTTATGTGTGTTTATCTGGACAGTCGTATAAGATTTTCTCTGAGCAAGTCTTGTCTAAATTGTTAAATAAGCAAAGCATCTGGCAGCCACGGCACAGTGTATTTGCAGCAATGATGGTATCCAAGCCCATTTGACTCTTTTTCTTTGGTAACACTTGAATTCAACATTTGATCAAAGGTGAATTAGTTATGTTGTTCCTGTTCATTAACCTGTATCTTATCCAGACCTGACTTGCCCAGATTTCTTTCTCTGGGGTTACCTGAAGACCCTGGTGTGCGGAACACTTGGTGGCCAGTGAGGAGCTAATGCAATCATAAGGTTCCCTATATGTTCCAAAAAATGTGATTGTATGCTGTGCTGTTGTCGTGCTTGTATTGCAGCTGGCAGCTATAACTCCGAATGCGTACTGTGACCTCTGAATGTTGTAACTGTAACAATTTGCTGACTAAAATATCATTATTCATATCACTCTCTTTCATTTCTTGTGTTTTCTTCTCTGCACACTAGCACATGAATATTGTGTTTCCACCCCTACATTTCTATCTAATTCCAAATCCTACCTCTCAGTCACCTTGAAGTGTGTACACTCTTAAACAAATCACCGTGTATAAGTTAAGTAGTGTTATTAAATTGTTTGCAAATAATAGTTCATTTTTTCTAGGTATCTGAAGCTGCTAAGAAAAGTCGATTACTCCAGAACAGAGTACTGGTCAATAAAAAGATTGCCTGTGATGAGCCTGTTGTTGTAGAAAATGCCCCAGCTCCAAAGAAAGCTGCTTGGAATGTTAGAAATGATTCAAATAAGAACTGGTCTGGAAGTAGTATTGAAGATTGTGTTATCTGTTGTGAAGAAATGAATTTTTCAACTGCATATAAAGCTGATTGTGGGCATCGATTTCATTTAACAGTAAGAAAATTTTGACCTAGATTGATAATTGATTTCATCATCTTAATTTGGCAATAGTAAATAGAGCAGCTGTATGAAAATTATGAGTATATTTATGTATATTATGTTTTTTAGTCTCTCATTATATTTAATTATTACTAAGCAGTACCACATCCATATGCCTTTATTGTTCATTTAGCCATCTGATTAAATATTTGGATTTCATTAAAAAATTAATGAGGAAAATTTTTTTCTGTGTGATTATAGAGCTGCTTATTGCTTAGTAAGTTGTTGTTTTTTCAAATTTAAATAACTGTTGATAAATAATACTTAAAATTGAATTTGAGAGATCACAAAATAACTGAAAATTGTAAAAATAATTTGTCTTTATCTGAAGTCAGCAAGAGTCTTCTAACTAATGCTGTGACTATAACACAGCATTAGTTAGAAGACTCTTGCTGACTTCAGATATGTCTATGATTGCCAGATGGTGAACTCTGTTAGGAACACTTGCTTTGTCACTCTAGAATTGAGGCAACTCTGCTGCAGGAATGCTTTTTGACCAGTATAGGAGCCTCATACATGCGTAATGAACTGATGGTGAGGAAACAGAGTTGAACATGTTGACATACAACAACAAAGATATGGTATTGAACGATCTTGCCAACTTCTCTAACGTGCATCTTATTCATACCACATCTTGTGCACTTTCATTTCATACTTGTGCTTTATAAGCATTGGTCTTGCTGATTTTATCTTGAAGCTCTGTGGGAAACAGGAACACAAAACTCTAAACACTTTATTTCAAAAATGAATTTCACATAAAATGTAATATGTGATAAAACCAGCTTATTCTTCACATAAATTTATTTTTCTAAAATGCATTTAACTACCATTCTGAATTTAAGAAGTAATTTTGTAATTCAAAGTATATTCAATTTTTAATTCTTAATCCAATACTTGATTCAGTTTGCATTTCAAAAATGATTCATCATTTAATATTACACGAAAAGACACGTCATTTTTTGGTAACCTTTTACTTCAACAACAGCTTTAAAGAAACTGAACTTCAGAGAGAGGATGTAATATAGTATGCAATTACAGTCAAAAGTCGTTAATTCAGATACCCGTAATTCGGAATGATCTATAATCCGGACCTCAAAACTAAAAACTTTCTGCACATGCGCCGCGTTGACACATGCGCATAGGCGTTTACGCGTGCGCGTAAGACCTTTTACGACTGCGCATATGAGTGTGCGCAAGTGCAGAATACGTTTTCGCGTGCGCGTTTTATGTATAATGGACGTATAAGCTAAAATTATCTAATTATCTATTTCAGTTAATGTTGATGATTGCGTTGTTCCTTAATTTTCGAATTGGATCCGGCTTATTATTTTTTGCAGACTGTAAGAGCAATTTTATAAAAGTAAGCTTAAACTTTCGATTATATCAATAGAATTTCCGATATATATTTGTTAATATGTAAAGGATCTAAAGCGAAAGTATGTTTTGAAATCCGAAATCTGTTTATCAATTTCACCCTGCTCGGTGGGGGGAACGCTGTGGAGGGCGCATAATGAATTGGAAGTTGATCTGTCAGCACTATCCTTATCTTCAGCGCAGATGTTTTTATTTTATTTGGCTTATAATTCCTTACCAAATGTAGTATTTCATCTCGATATGCTCCGTCTTTGATATGATTTAAAACAAGTTTGATATGATTTAAAACAAAAAATGTTGATGATTGCGTTGTTCCTTAATCTTTGAATTGGATCCGGCTTATTATTTTTTGCAGACTGTATAATAATATACTGTATAATGTATTTTATAAAAGTAAGCTTGAACTTTCGATTATGTGAAATAGAATTTACTGATGCTGGAGCTCCCAAAGGATCTAGAAAACAAAAGTATGTTTCGATGTCCATCAAACAAAAAAAACGAGTTGCTAAAAAAAATGGATAAAGGTATATCCTTTGTTTATCTAACCATTCCGAAATCTGTTGAAATCTGTTTATCAATTTCTCGCTGCTCTGCGCGGGGGGAGGGACATAGCAGGGTGCAATGAACTGGAAGTTGATCTGTCAGCACTATCGTTCTTCAGGGCAGATGTTTTTATTTTATTTGGCTTATAATTCCTTACCAAATGTAGTATTTCATCTCGATATGCTCCGTCTTTGATATGATTTAAAACATGTTTCTCGTCATTATAATTCGCTTCCAATAGCGAAGAAAGTGACAGAGGTTATTGAAAACGAAGAAATTTTGATTGACAAATTAGTCGGTGTTCTCGACACAGCAATTATAGGACTTGAACAGCGGAACTTTGTAACTGAACAAGAAATTATGTCTGTTGAATAGAATTAAAGAGAAAGTATTATCACATGAAACGAAGCAAAACTTAACAACTTACATTGAAAGAAATGTTTAATAAAGTAAACAAATAAATATTAAGCTTTTTCTTTTTGCAAATTTTGATACCCTTTAGATCATAATTGTTCTTTATTTCATAAATTACGGTTTCATATTTTTAATTTTAGAATTTCTGCATGCCATCTTACGAGATTTAAACTGATGATCTATAATCCGGAAAAATCGATAATCCGGAATCGCCAAAGTCCCGACGAGTCCGGATTAACGACTTTTGACTGTAGTTAATATTAAGCGCATCAAATTGTGCTAGTAGATAACCACATAATATCTACTCCTTTCTTACTGTTTCTTACTGAATTACTTAGCTGTTTCACAGATAATGTAGTAGCATATCTACTTAAATTTTTATACACATCTATACATTATGCATATAATAAAAATAATTTTGTACTATTTTATAATTTTACTGTGAAATATTATTTTTTCACTTATGCTTTTTTCAAATTATAGTACTTATCATGATTAGGGGAATAATAATATTATGATATGAATTTCTACTGTTATTTGTGCTAATTTCAGAAAGTTAAATTGTTTTGTCCAGGTATTTTCCATTAACGTCCATTTATTTTGTCCAAGTAAATTTTTTTCCCTTCAAATATTTTCTGCTATTTACCTTTGTGTGTTTGAGGTTAAACTAAAATGTGAATTTTGTTTGTATGAAGTGCAATAAATCACCAAATATGGTTTGATTTTATGAAACAAAGAATGGTTTCATAAAAACATGTTAACAGTTTGTAATAAATTCTGTCCAGGCTACGTAATTAATAACTTTTATTAATTTGTAGCCAGTATTATTTCTTGTGAATATATATTTGGTGATGATATTACTTTACCACAAGTTCAAAGAATTTTATATCAGAGTATTTTTGAAGGTTTGTTAAACTTTTGGAATGCAGAGAAAGTTGTTTTTTTTTTTAACCATATAAAGTCACCAAGCATTTGTCTTTCAGTATTCATAAACAGTATCAATGACATAAATCAATTTTCCAAATATATTAAACAAGAGATATTATATAAATACAGTCAAAAGTCGTTAATTTGGACACCCATAATCCGGAATGATCTATAATCCGGACCTCAAAGCTAAAATCTTTCTGCGCATGCGCCGCGTTGACGCATGCTCATAGGCGTTTTACGCGTGCGCGCAAGACATTTACGACTGCGCATATGCGTCTGCGCAAGCGCAGAATACTTTTTCACGTGCACGTTTAATGTATAACGGACGGTATAGCTAAAATTATGTAATTATCTATTTCAGTTAATGTTGATGATTGCGTTGTTCCTTAATCTTTGAATTGGATCCGGCTTATTATTTTTTGCAGACTGTATAATAATATACTGTATAATGTATTTTATAAAAGTAAGCTTGAACTTTCGATTATGTGAAATAGAATTTCTGATGCTGGAGCTCCCAAAGGATCTAGAAAACAAAAGTATGTTTCGATGTCCATCAAACAAAAAAAACGAGTTGCTAAAAAAAATGGATAAAGGTATATCCTTTGTTTATCTAACCATTCCGAAATCTGTTGAAATCTGTTTATCAATTTCTCGCTGCTCTGCGCGGGGGAGGGACATAGCAGGGTGCAATGAACTGGAAGTTGATCTGTCAGCACTATCGTTCTTCAGGGCAGATGTTTTTATTTTATTCGGCTTATAATTCCTTACTAAATGTAGTATTTAATCTCGATGTACTCCGTCTTTGATATGATTTAAATCAAATTCCTCGTCTTTATAAATATCACGAATACAAATCAAATAGTTTTCTGGTTGCAATTTTCTAATTTTGGCTATGCGTAAGGTATGCTTTACGCATGCGCGCGTTGAAAGAAATGTTTAATAAAGTAAACAAATAAATATTAAGCTTCTTTTTTTGTAAATTTTGATATCCTTTAGATCATAATTGCTCATTATTTTATAAATTACGGTTTCATATTTTTAATTTTATAATTTCTGCATGCCATCTTACCAGATTTAAACTGATGATCTATAATCTGGAAAAATCAATAATCCGGAATCGCCGAAGTTCCGACGAGTCCGGATTAAAGACTTTTGACTGTAGTATTTACAATGTATTGTATCAAAATCTTGTTTCTTTAATTCAAAAATGTAATCTCATGAAACATTATTAACGCAATCAAAATATAGTTGGTTTGTAAACATAAGTATGAATTTAAAAATATAGGTAAAACTTATTTATGACTTACAACTTGTTTGTATGGTAAAAGTTTTTCTTCCCTACATAAATTGTAAATTCTTAGCCACAAAACTACTAGTATAAATGTTGGGCTAAAAAAAATCACAATCTGCTTGGCAGTTCTCCAGAAATTGTACCCCTCCCTCATTTATATCAGGATGCATTGAATTATTTAACTTAATGTAAAATGTGAGTATTTTTCTTTAAATCTAGTTCTGTAATTTCTAGTTACATTTTTTAAAAACATGGTATAAGGAGATAAATAAATGGGGGAGGGAAATGGCACTTTGTATATTAAGTGTATTTCTGTTCTCATTTCATATTTAAAATAATATGTCATTTGTTTGATTATCAATAGAAATGGATAATTTCTGACCTTCAACTAGCACAATTGCAAATTAGCAATTTAACTCATTTTCTTTTCTCCTTGCACATAAAGAAATTTGCATCATCTTCACAAATCAGTAAATTTAGACATGATATTAACTTTATTCTGCGAAATTCATAGTCTACATTTATTTAAAAAAATTTCAATAATATTTTAGATATTACTTTAATTTTGAAAATTTTATAGCTTCATATATGTGGATTTGATATCTAGTTTTCTGCACCTCAAGAAATCTTTTATTTTATTTTAGTGTATACGTGAGTGGCTTAATAAGAAGAGTGACTGTCCCATTTGCCGTGTTTATTTGCTACTGCCAGAAGATTACCCAGCTCTTTCTTAAATATTTTTATTTTGTTAATTAAAATTATATATTTGTAATAAAATATAAAAATAAAAGGTTGTACATTTCAGCCTTGTTCTTGTGTCTTTTACTAGAAAAGTTTTGTACATTTTCGTGTAAACACTGTTTTAATTTTGAAGGTACTGAACATATTAATTCATCTAATTACAGGATTATGTGGAGAATTGTGACTTTTTATCATGACTTATAGCTTGGTATCAGAATTCCAATAATCGCACTCTAAATTTAAATTATTAGATCTACAATATGTTACCCATTTCCTATATATCCAGTATTACATTTAGTTCAACTTGTCATTCTCCAGGTAGCACTTCATTTTTATCTTATAGCATTAGCTCGCTGCTTACTAGTAACTACCTGCATTTTCCTGAAGTATATATAGGTATTTTTTTCTCACCTTGTTAACCCTTACAGTGAATACTAAAAGAAACAAGGATGATATCAAGTCTACAAGTATTAAAAAGAAACATAAGTGATTAGCTTAGAGTTTAATTGAGTGTGAAGTAAGCGTAACCAAAATCAAAATTGCAAGAGAGTATGGTTTAAATAAATCAACTATTCACCATATTGTAGATCATATTGCAAACTACAAGCAACTATAACAATGTGCATCTGAGTCCCAAGGTGAACAGAACCATGTTATGATTTAAGTGGTATTACTGTCATTGGAGCTATAGAAGGTAGTAACTAAAAGGAAATTCCATATAGTAAAATTTAAGGGGAGGGGAAAGAGTTTTCATAAGCCGAAATGATTTCAGCCGTGAAATTCTTGACGAAGCTGTCAATATAATTTCCCAAGTTTATTGCTGGAAGCGTGTACTGGGTATTGTTTAGAGCTTTGCAAATTTTTGCCGGTAAGTAATAATGGCTCTATTGTCAGGTGAAATATAACAACTAATGTCCGGGAAGATCCAAACAGGATCATGATCTCGTGGTAATTCGTCCGACACAGAAAAATCCTGTGGATAACTGATATTTCTAAACAATCTATGATTCTGCTGGAACCAACATTAGATGGTGATGGAGTGAATGGAGCTGCTATTTGACTCCTGGCAGACTGCCAAACTGAATACAATGTATCCTGTGGCGTTGGAACTGTAGTAGTTCCATGTATGGTTCGTAAACCAATGATGTGAAAATTTGGAACTTACCTAATGATGAAACATCTTCTACACAATTTCTTCAGGAATGAGGAATTATTCACTCTGAAAGAAAATGCAAAGCCATAAAATGAAATTCTTCAATTTAGAGGAAGCACTGAAATGGAAATGTGAAGGTATAACGTGCTGGGGGGAAAAAAAGGATTTTGTTCTAAAAATTCGTTTGAAGGCTCAAGAATCAGTTTCTTAACAGCAATTCCTTTAATTTATTCATGGTTTCTAGAATTAAATTCCACTGAATTTCGATGGTATCAGCTTGATATGAATCATTGCCAGGGCTTAATTTCTAAAATCAAAAGTGCCAGAGCCTTACAGAACACCGCCCAAAAAATTAATAATGAAAAAGTAATAAATAAATAAAAATTAAACAAATAAATAAAATTAATAATTAAAATAATATTTAAATAAAATTTAAAAGCATGTAAGGAGATAAACAAAAATTTAATAAATGATTACATTTATGATGAATAGTTAAATTACAAAATAAAATAAATCCCTTTTTATTTAAGATTGCATTTGGAATTACCATTTCATAAAAAATAACTTAGCCGGGCTACTGTTAAATTTAAGCTTGAATAAAAAATATAATATAGTATTTCAAAGGATGACATAAAGACCATTTTTTTGCACACCAATAAAAAATAGGTTAAATGGTTAAAGCCTTACTATAAGAATAGAAAGAATGCTAGAAATAGCAACAAAGTATCAAAAGATATACGGTTGCTATGAGAAGTCTACGATCATTTAATTTCTGTAAAGCAGATTTGACTAAGTTATGTTATGTGGCAAGAAAAAGTAGTTTTCATAGGAGTAATAAAAATATAAATTTATTTACAGAATTGCAGGTTCGTAGCGAGTTATACTTTTATATACCACTATCTTACGGTGGAAGAACAACACGATGTTGTCAATCCGCTGCAGCTGAGTATTGGCATCGAAAGGTGTAGCTCGTCAATAACCAATATTCTCCCACCTTAATTTAACTTGATCCAAAGAAGTTAATATATATTTTAACATTAAAATCTCTATTTTCTGAAGCAAAAAAAACTAATACTTAAGCAAAGTAACAATTTTTCTCTATTAACACCTTAACTGCCGCGGAAAACGCACAAGATTCATTTCCCAGTGCCACGTTTTCACACAGTCGTGCGTAGTTTTATGCGATGTATTAGGGGGAAAATAAGTGCAAGTTTTACTTTCTAAAAACTGTTTACTTTCACAAAATAAAGAATAAAAGAAAAAAAATGAATGCACAAAATTTAATGTTTAGAGTAAAAGTATAATAAAAAAGATCTCTAAAATGGAGTTTCGATCAATTTATTTTTAGACCAGCAAAGTGTAATATCAGGTTTCACTGTTATCCCTTGTGAAATCAGTATGCCTAAATAAACATATATTTCTTCTGAACTGGTTGAATGTCACGATTTTGTTCTTGATTTTTCGTTTGCAAGCTGTTAGTTCATATACTCGTCTATAAAATGGTTAGTTTCAGTAACAATATGAAGCATGAGCAGTTCAAAAAAGATAAATGGGTTTGAAACATCCATTATATCTTTCTTTATTCCTGGAACCTACTATAAAAAGTAAACGAAAATGGAGGACACAGAATTTTAAAAAAATACGTTTTACTCAAACAACACCAGTCAATACCGCACGGTCATTACTTTCACCACTTTAGACACATTCCTCTCTCCAATTTCTCCCCACACTCCTCTGAAATAGTATCCTCTTTCGCATACTTTGTCAAGGTCATTGTGGTGTTGCATTCCAAAGCTTTGCAAATAATTTTACGGGTAGCAGCGCAAAGTAAATGATAGTATTTTCGAAGGGTGTAGATATACGCCCGGGGCAGTTAATGCATCAGCAGAGAAAGGCGTATATATACACCCATGGCAGTTAAGGGGTTAAAAATTACATTACTACAATTCCTTACAAATAATGATTTTCTAAGTTTAGTTTGTTAGGAGTTTTAATCTCACCACCACATGCAGATCGTTTTGGTAGAGTCTCTTTAAGTTCTTTTACCTTTTCTGTTGCCTTCTGGTTCTCATCATTTTTGGACTGAGCTAAATCTTCTGTTATTTCAGCAGCATCTTGATGTCCAATGGATAGATTCTTTGAATTGGTCATAACAATATACCCAATACCGTCATGGAATGTACAATTCTAATTGAACTGTCGTGACCTGAGCTAAGCTCTATCACTCTCCAAGTGGCCTAAAGGTTTTTTTATTATCACTTCCAATTAATACGATGCCATAGACATTTATCTTCTTCAACAATGTTTCATTGGCCACTATCTTTAGCTAGCCTAAGTATTCACTACGAAATCTTCACTGTAACTCTTCTCTCAATCATAGTCTATACATGAGCCATTTATTGAGATCTTGAGCTTCTACCAAGTTTAGATCAGGTACTCCAACTTCTTCAACATCATTCAGGAACACATTAGGAGTCAAAGGAACTGGATTACTTGGATCTTCGAAAATGTAAGGTAGAGGTTGAGAGTCAATGATTCCTTCACAGTCAAAGAAAATTATTTATAGTTCTTCAAAATATAGCAACGCTTTCCCAATAACTTCTTAGCAGTTCTTTAAGAACACCTGTCATTCTCTCCAACAATTCTCCCAATGCAGAGGGAAGAATGAACTTCCAGCGTATCTTTTTTGTAGAGTTGTATACTTCAATTTTTTCCCAGTTAATATTATTTAAAACACTAGCTATTGCTACAAAATTACTTCCATTGTCTCTATAAATTATAGATGGTCGTTCTCTGTGCCTACTTGATATACTCCACATGTAAATAGGCATATCCATGCTTTTTCCTGGGTTGTGTACCCTTAGCTTTTCAGGTATAAAAGAGCAGTGAAATTTACACCTGCAATTTCAGAATCCTTGGCTTTATGTACACGATCTTCAGGCAAGGCAGTTGTTAAAGCCTTCATATTTGTTACTTTTTTACACTTTAAACATGGATTAAAAATAGCTCGGATTGTATGGGAACCACCTAAAATGTTCTCCAAGAGTTGTTTTCTCATCATCATCATAAGAATTGTTCATTATGCATATTGTTATATTTTGTATTACCTTGCAATATGTAAATTTCAGGTATTTGCAAATTTAGATCAATTAGTTGTTTTAAGTGTTTCAAAAAAATGAAGTAATATTGGTATGCAGCTTAAATGTTGGTAAAATGAAGCTTTGTTGGTATGCAGCTTAAGGCGATCGAGATTGCGATATGATGACAATGAATTTAATATTTAAATGTGAAATGGATATTTCTTATTTATATTATCAGAAAACTATTAAGCTAGTTAAAATTGCTAAGAGAAGTATTGAATGCTCTGCCAAAATATATCTACTAGAAAATTTGAATTTTATGAATAATGAATGTATCTAAAAATGTGAAACTTGGAGTCTAAATATAAATATAAAATTATGCACGTTAAAATATTTGTATTTATGCGCTTTTTAAATAGGCTAATGTATGCAAGAGCTATCTGACTAAGGGGACAGATGCTTTCGTGGAGGAATCTCAAAAGAAAAGTGCTTGCATATTAAAAATAATGTATATGTAATTTTCATTCAGTTCTGATATATGCTAAATTATTGTAAATTTACTAACAAAATCTAGTGAATGCACATAAACTATTTGCATATGCAGAAAATGAAAAATATTAAATATATATTGGTATTTATGCATATCCTGGTAAAAAGCATGTATTTGCCTTTAGGAAAATACGTGACTGTTTATTAAATTATTTATAAATGTATTTGGAAATGAAAGGTTTATTCATTCATAAACTCCTGTGAATGTTACCAAGAAAAAAATCTAGTTATTAATTATACCTAAATTTAAAATTATTGTAAATATTATCTAAATGTGTAATAAACTTAACATTTAATTGTAAACATAAATTGAAATTCAGTTGACAAATATATTTATAAAACTATTTAAGCAAGAATTGTTCGTACTGAAAACAATGTAGTAAAGGGTGTTGTAAAGCACAGTCTATGAGATTGCGTTATTAAGGAAGTAATAAAGTAGAATTTTTAGAATGTGTATTGTTGAATAAAAAAATTGATAAGTATTAAAAGAATTATTTCCTTACATTAACTCAGTTACAAATTTTAAATAATATTAAAAACCGCCATTTTTATATCCCTTTCAGAAATACTTATAGAGAGTTAAGTAAATCAGCAGCAACATTTAACGTATATTACTCTGAAAATAAAAGATGTTCTAATTTGAAATGAACCGAACAGAGCATTAATTATAAAGTGACTCTGGATTTAAAAGATGCCTGAGAAGCTAAAAATCGTCTGATATTTGAGAGAGCATTTCAGAAAGAAGCTCTGTAAATAGAAAAGAAATAATGCGTAATTTTAATATTAATAATACAATAAACTTTAATTTTAATTTTCGTAATCGTTAACCAAATTACCTCAAAATTTCTTTCTAATGTAATTAACGAAAACTTATGAAAAATATTTCATTCAAATTTAACTGTTCTGGAAAAAGTATAACATTTAATTCCGTTCAGAGTGAAATGTTGTTTAAAAATGTACTCTTTCAGACACTTAGGGGTCTGAAATATTGTAGGAAAAGAAAATGTATACATTTATACATATGTTTACCTCCGATCATGTCAAAAAACCTATTGATCTTAATGGCAAGTCGCTGAACACTGGTAGTTCGGTCCAAGGTTCGAATCCCGCGAACGGGCTGGCTGCATGTGTGTTTAAGTGGTTTTTCCCATGTGTAACGTACGTGTATACGAGCCAGTTTCCCTTAGAAAGTCCTCCATGAAGGCATCCCTCCCTTTAGGTAGATAGCCCTAGTGTGCTTTGCCATAATTAAATACACCACACCACTTAATGGCAAGTCACTGAATGTTTTGGTCTGCAAGAGGGGTATGCCACTGCTTCAAGGCAGTGCATGAGTTTGAGCCTCTCCCCTTATTTCTTACCTCTATAATTTAATTACATCTTTACAAAAATTCTACGTATAGTATTTTTGGGAACTAAAAACCCGCTGCCGTAAATTATCCCATTCCCTTTCTGGAGAGAAAGCCTTTAACATACGGGTGGGGGCTTTTTTATTCTTGATTATTAAAGGACAAATTTGCCAGATTTAAACCGGCATATATTATATTCAGTTAACATGAGTTTTTAAGGTACTCTTATTATTAAAATAAAATTTTCAAGATCCAAAAGACTCAGCTGAAATTGGGCTTCAGTTACATATAAGAAGTGCCGCAGCCCTCTTATTTAACTCTTTCGCATCGAGAGACAACCAAATCTGTTTTCAACAAACATCGAAAACGCCCGTGTTTACGAATTTGTCTTGGAATAGTTTTCCTTTCCCCCTGCCTGGTAGATAGCTACAGCATTAACAATAACCTACTTAAGTGAAATGACTGCTTCTCCCTTGGGGGTTTTTCTGCGGTTTCATCCATTGTGTGCAGTTTCACCTTAAGGCCGGATTGCACCTGCGAACGTCAATGGCTTTCCGTATTTCTCCTTTAGTTGCTTCAAAAGAATGATTGACATGTCTCTTAACAACTCGCAAAACCAATGAGCCATACACTAACGTGGAGGGGGGAAAGCACTAGATAGAAAATAAACGAGGCGTTGGGGTGGTTTGCCGTTGCCTGAATGAACGGGCGTTACGGGCGACTTCGATGCGAAAGAGTATAGGATCCAATGTGCTTCGGCTAGAATTTAAAAGATTTATCTCAAAAGTAACGGAGCAGATTCAGGCCTAATTTACGCTCTGTTCATTGCATTGCTGTTGATTGGGAGAGTTATATAAGAGAATTCTGAAGCCATACATTAATGTCTAGATCATCAGTGAAAATAGGCGAAACTGGCAATATTGTCCAAGTTGACGAAAGTTTGTTATCGCGTGGAAAGGATAGAATAACGTTGGTGTCCGCCCAGTTCATATGCAGTGGCATTTGTCGAGAAACAAAAGAAGGTTTTTTAGTTGCTGTAGTTAACCGCTTTGCCAAAACTTTTCATAAAGTTATTGAAGAAAAGAATTTTTTTGGCAGTATAATATACTCAAATTATTGAGAAAGTTATGACACCAAAGAATAAAATGAGGCCGGATTTGAACTTTTCTGAGTTAACCATAAATACAGTTTTATCGATCCCGATGCTGGTTGTCATATGCAACCTATTGAAAGTTTTGGGAGCAATGCGAAATGGCGAAATAAACTTCAATGTGGCATTGACCATAACTAATTAGATTCTTATTGAATTGAGTTGGCGGAAGTCGGTCCTAAAACGCAAATCCTAATTCTCAGACAGTTTAAATGATATTCGTATTTCCATGCCTCCGCGTTAATCTTAAGTCACTAACCGACCCTCCCCCCCCCTTTTTTTTTTTTTTTTTTTTTTTTTTAATTTCTTTGGCAAGTTGTTTAATTTACGTTGAAAATTTCTAATTTTACGACTATCGGTTATGTTATTATTATTTTTTTTTTTTTTTTTTTTTTGGGTTGTTGTTGTTCAACGAAACCGTATCGTAAATGTTTTGGCGATTAACTTTATGCTTTGTGTTTTTCACCGATCGTCAGCTTTCGGCAATATCTGAACCCGGTTCCAATAATAGAATGGTACCAAAGTACTTGTGAGTTATTATCAAGACTCATCGAACTTTCTTGCTTGCTAGTTTTTCCATTGCTGTTAAAAACAGGCTTCTTATCATTTGTTTTATTTTTAGGTAGTTACAAACACATAAATACACTGATTCTTATGGCAAATTGCAATTTAACAGAACTCCTGCATTTATTTGGGTAATTTTCCATTACGCATCTGCCACGCTTTTTGGTCCCTGTGAAAGAGAAACCAAAGACATGCCGAAACCCAACGATAGCTTCATTTGGAGACTATGTCTGCAAGTATGTGTGTGCATGTAAACAAGAATAATTAAACACACACACATATTATTACAACAGTACTACCAAAATGCGTGACAAGGACATAACAGAAATTTTTAATTATTAATTTTTTTTGTACAGTGACGCGCTTTTAAAAAGCGAAAGCAGTGCCCGTTATCTTTTAAAAGTTATTGCATTATCTGCAAATGGCATTTTTTTAGGTTTAAAACAACGTTGTTTTCCACTGCAAAACACGCATTTGTGTGCAGGAATACGAGCGCTCAACAAACTTCCTGTCGTTGAAGGTCGCTCGTGAACTGTTTTAATAGATTTAATGTATAGGATATATCGTCCTGCAAACCAAACCAGCCATACCTAAATGAGTTCTTCGGATTCTGCTTCCGATTTAAAACATTTTAACAAGCTATCCATTCTACATTTTGGGTCTAGACAATGGTTAATATTTGCTTTTCTCTGACAGGCTCTTAAAAATTCATCTGTCAAACAAAGCTGAGCTAAAGGATAAAGAAGAGCTGCCCTTTCAACTGTAGTGACGCAAACGTTTCCAGAACCTGAAATTTATTGTTTTAAAGTATTATGTAATGCACATAAGTTATTAGAAGAAGTGACTGGAATTTACATTTCTCAGAACTAATTTTAACAATTCTCTCACATGAACTTTCATTTAAAAGTCATTTCGATTAAAACGAGTCTTCAAATATTCTATGGCCTTGGGATAATTAATTTCTATAACTTCTATTATTTCTATAACTATAATAGGTTGAGTGAGAAACTTTTTTTATCGAAAGAAATACTTCAGAGTTCTGGAAATTTCCACAGAAATAATCGTACAGGTGTTCACAGTATCATAGAGTACAATCTGTAGTTACACTTCAAACTACTAAGAACGTTAAACACAAGGTAATGCTAAAGAGCGAAGCTAAACCGGAGACAGTATTCAGAACTCCACGCTGAGCTAGCAACTAACAACAACAACCGAGAGCAGATGCTCTCTCCAGCCTTACATAGATTTCACGCGGCCGCCGAAATATTTCTAACACTTTCTGTTTCTCGAAACTACAGGAAGGCAATATGAGGGCGGAATTACGGTTACAGCTAATATAGTGATAAATTACATTCATTCAATTACAATACCTATTACGATGATACAAGGACAGGACAAAAATGTCGCCAAATGGTCGTCGTTTGAAGAGTACTGGCGATTTTCCGCTAAATTTGGCGACATAATTTAGTCGCCGAAACCGATGCCAGCTTGGCGATATCTTGTCAAATTACTGAGATACCATTTACTCAATGATAAATGGACTTGCCCCGTTATTCTTATTGTTCTGTCATAGCTTGTCTCTCTAGATGTTTTCATGTTACATTACACAGAAAAATACAGCAATTTCACATATAATTGCACTAAAAACACATATCTATATACAAATTTCGTAACTATCATTTATATTTGAAAATGTGTTTGGATCTTAAATAAAATATCTCTCTTATAAACAACAAATATTTTAATAAGCCTAAACACATGTGCTTTTAGTTTATTCTGAAAGCTGTTTTTGTTTTCACTTCCAAGAAATAAAACTGCAATTATTAGTGACGGAAAAACATGAAGTAAATAAAATAATAAAAAGTACGTATAAAATATAAACTACACGTCAACAACTGAATTCTTTTATAATTTATTTAATTTTTAAATGATATGCATGTGGCGATATCGTTTGAAATACTGAAAAGCCATCTGTCAAATTCGTGTTGCGATTTACTTTTTGCTCAAATTACAATAGTAAAAAAAAAAGAGTTCGATATAACATTAGAATTTGTTTTCAAAAAAGAGAAACTCGTTATCATTTATTTTACTCCTTTTCTCTCGTTAATAAATTTATTTAAAGTTCATTAATTTATTGTTCTGTACAGTGTACTATTAATACATTTGTCCTTAATCAACGAAATCTATAATGTACATGTATAAAATTCAGTACTAAAAATATTGCGAACCTGCCACTAAATAAACAATAGTTGTATTTAGCTGTATTAAATTTATATGCCGTGATATAACATAAAATGCGCTTTCAAAGTTTTATTTATTTTAGAATTTTATGAAGTGAGTTTTTAATTATAACCGTATCTTCAGCTCGTGTTAATATTAGAATTTAGATTCTAAACAAGATATCAATATTTGCTAATCATAGAATAACTCGATTTGCTGCTTATTTTCAAAACCTTAAATGGATAATCCATCAGTATTTTTATCTCCTACAAATAAACTAGAACCTCTTATTTCAGGGATTGAATTTTTGAACATTAATGGTGAAGAATTCTATAGCATCTCGCATAATGCAAGCATTGAAAATATTGCCTCTGATACAAATTCAGGCTATAAAGAATTTGTAGCTCCTGATGAAATTTTAGCTGAAAAAATAGTGACTCAAGTGGAACATTTATTTTCCGATTTTTATATCTTAAAAGATAAGTTCTTATTGAAGCATATTCGTAGAAACAAAGAAGGATTTGTCAGTCTTAAACTTATTTCGTCGTTGAGGAAAGTTAAAGCACTCACGAAAGATTGGCGAGTGGTTGCATATAGCTTACAAAGATCAAAGAAATTAGAAATGAATGACGAGAAGACCAAAGTTAAGCGTATAGCTCCTCTACCTGATATAGAGGGAACTGGAGATGGAAGAACAGTGATCGCTTTCAACTTACCCCTTACTATGACTGAAGAAGATGTGAAAAAGTTATTTTTAAAATACGGAGTTATTGCTTCAGTATCTCTGATGAAAATCGATAATGGTTCAAGGCATAATTACTTAAAGAAATGTTTATCATATTACCAGGATATGTCTACTTCTAATTGTGCTATCGTTGAATTTGAAACTGTGGATGGTGCTGTCAGATCATTGAGGTATGATCCTCAGCTAGCTTTAATGGTTGTGCCTCTACCGATTCAGAGAAACAAATGTAATGCAGATTACAAATCAAATCTTTCGCCTCAAGATATGCAGAAACTCAGGTTCGAAGATGATGTACACATGCCAGATATGATACTCTCACATGAAAGTAATCCGAAGAATAATTTCACAAGCGATTCTCAGAAAAGTATTCTAAATTTAGAGCAACCAAATAATAATTCTACAAAGTATCTTAAATTTTGCAAGAAATCCGAGTCTGAGTTAACCCCAAGAACTGATGATGAGCAATTAATGCTGTCATGTACATACCAAGGCGATGGTTTAGCTAATAATTTATGGAAACAAAGGAGGCAGTATATCATGAGCCATGGGAAAAGGTTAAATAGATCGAGAGTTGTAGTTATTCGGCAACCTAGAGGTCCAGATGGAACAAATGGCTTTCACAGAAGTACAAGAAGAATTGCTGTTAAAAACTGAAAGGTCTTATAAATGGTGTTTAATTACAAGTTATCTGGCTGTTTTAAGACATAATATAATAACAACATCTAACGAATATTTAGCAACATGGATTTCATATGTAACTACTGAAAAAAAATTAGAAGAAACTAATTAAGTTTTAATTTAGTGCAGCAATAAACAACAGTTATATTCAAAATTTGTGTCATTCAGTTCACTCTGTAAAGAAATAAGGATTTCATAATATCAGCTCGTGAATTCATGAAAAGCCTGGAACATTCTTAAAAAGTAAAGTAAAAAACATCTGACACATAACCAAAGAATTTGTAAGGGAGAAGAACGAAAGGTCCCATAGACATAATGTAAACCGGTTCGATCGTTGCATTCATCTCGTCTAGCCTAGTCTGAGCGAAGCAGTGAAGCAATGGCGCAGGGTGCAAGTGAAATTCGCTCACGAATAATCCGTCTTAATAAAATTCTCTGCTTCGAATTAATTTTCGATTTATACGCTTCTTAAATCTACTAAGCTGTAGCATATTTTAAAGATACGTTTTATAATTTTCGAACTTTATATTTCATAAAATAAATATCTGAAATTATGCTTTGATTTTAATAGATCTGGATAACTTTGGATACTGACTTGGAAAGCTACTTAAAAATTCTTACTAAAGTTTTTTCTAATAATTCATAGTTTTAATTTTCTTTTCCCTGAATATATCTAAATACCTTTTCTAATAATAAATTATTGATTTATTACTTAGCAGGTTTAGCGCAAATTTTAGACATTTTAAATTACTCATTATTATTTTTACTTAGAAATTTTTAAAAATATACTTTTAATACAATAGTATTAAACAGGAAGTGAAAGCTATTGTGAAAAACTTATCAGAAGGAAAATTTTATTTTTTGACAGGAGAAAATTTAAAATACTGATCAGCAATTAAATTCATCTCTTATAAAAATTAGCTAAATATTAAATATATGTAGAAGATGTTTTAGAGTAAAAAGTGGAGACAACACAATTAAAATAATGAAAAAAAATTATTTATATGCAAACAATTTCATATTAAATACACAATTTTTATATCATGACAAAGAAATTACCACATGATTATTCTTTTTTCATATAAGACTTGAAAAATCATTAAAATATTGTATTTTTAGATTTTAAATTAAACAAATTTTATAGTTAATGATTTTTTAAAATTAAACTATAACAAAATTCTTTGACGAAACATTCTCTTTAGATTTTATTTTAACTAATATTAGATTACAGCTCCCTTACAAATTCTTTGCTTTAAGTTAGTAGCGCTAGACAAAGTTTTCAAATTCTTTGTTTACGTGAGGGACAAGTTTATATTAAGTATTAATACCAACCATGAAATGTTTTTTCTGCGTGAATTGAGGTAACGAAAATTTTCTTTGAATCTTCATAATTAATTATAACTAATAACTCTTCATAATTAATTATATAATATTAATATTTGCAACTAGCTTTACTTTCTTCTACAAACGGCCATCGCATAAGCCTTTGGCGACATTTGGAATTTTTATGTTACAAATCGGGCGATTAAGTCTGAACTAAGCGCGGTGTCTGCTTTGACAAGATAGTACTATATTTCTTTTTATCCTGTGATTTCTGTTATATAGTGTAAAGTTTTAGATTTAAATACAGGAAATCTTAAACCACATGAAAATTCCATGCAGTTACATCCACGAAATATGTTTTTATTGTACTGTTATTGATGAAAAAATTAAGATAATTTATAAAGTTAGGTAATTTTGACTCTGGCAAAGTACACGAGTGCTATCTGTCTAAGGGAAGGATGTCTTCGTGGAGGACATTTTAAGGGAAAGTAGCTCGTATTTACATTACGTGTGTGGGGGGGGAGGGAAGTATGAAAGGTTCCATGCTGTCAGCTTTTTCGCCGGGATTTGCGCTCAGGTTGATCTATCAGTGTTTAGCGCTTTTACCGTTCAACCGTCAGTAGACTCAATGACCTATCATAAACTCAACAAAAATAATTTGAAAACCTTGACACAAAGCATTTTTCAGTTTATTATGCTATTCAGTTTATTAACAGCCTTTTTATGATTGTTTCTACAGTCCCAGAAGATCCCTAACATTATCTTGTTGTCATTGAAATTTTGCAAAATTAGTAGCAATATTTGATTTAAAGTCCATTCTTTTATTTCATTTGGTTTGGTTTACTGAGATTACGGCAAAGCACAGAAGGGCTATCTGCCTAAAGAAATAGATGCCTTCGTGGAGGACTTTCTAAGGAAAACTGTCTTGTATACACGTTACCCATGGGGAATGGCCCATGCAGCCAGCCTGTTTGCCTGGAATCGAACCCAAGTCGGAACTACGAGTGTTCAGGGACTTTACTACTCTCCGCCGGTGGGTCCACGGGGATGTTTATAGCCGCTAATAAGCTGTTTTATTTGAGAGAGCAATTAAGCAAAACATATATTTTCTGCACTATTAACGACAGTCTTTTAGCATTTACATTTAAACTTGGCGATTTTTGAGGGAAATTATAAAAAGCTGCTCTAATAGTATACTGTAATCTAGGAATTAGTTAAAGTATATTTTCCTTTCGAAATTCGCTTTTAACAAGTTAAGCGGCAAGCCTGTTTTTTCTTCTTTTCCGCTAGCAATATCCTATTTCATCCAGCAATAAGCCAGCAATATCCTATTTCATCAATCAATTGGCAGCCAGAAATCTCGGTAAGGTTACGATAAGACTGCTTGTAATACTTCAGATATATTCTTTGTGTGTATTTAATACAATTAAAATTCTTAAAAGTTATGATAATTTTTAATTAACTCATTAAATTGTTTGGTAATTATTTAATAAGTAATATTTAGGTGCATTCTTTTATGGTCTCCAAAATACTTCAAAAATTATCAGTAAAAGAATATAATTTTTTAATTTGTTTATTGATACTCAATAGTGATTGCGGATTATTATTTGGACTTTTCAAAAACAGACTTTTGCAATTTTAATAGAACTCTAAAAATTATGATTGCTCTCAAAAATTACAATTTTCAAAGTATTTATTACTCAATTATTGAAAAATCATTTACTTTAAAAGTTTATATTTTTTATTATGTTTCTCTGCATTTTAAACTGCTTTAAACCTTTCCCTCTAAAAAGGCTTTTCTGCTGCTAAGCCTTTTTCTCTTTAAAGGGGTAACATATATGTGAGATTATAAATTATATAAATTAAAAATCTAACATTAATCTGCATTAATCCCTTTAATCTGCGATAATCTTTATTTTAATTTCGGTATTTTCTCTTTCTGGCCTAAAAATAATCACTCTGAACGTCTCTTCTGGAGTTCCCGAGGTGAACTACGTCGTTTCCAAATTGATGCATGCCCTTTGACTCTTGCATAATGCTTACTACGCAAGTACTTACAGTAGGTTTCAGCCAACAATAATTTTGGAACGTTATTACTAACCAATCATAATAAAGCTACACCAGAACAAAATCATTCTGAACCAGGTTTCATATTTAACACGCGACAGTCACTCTCTACTTTTCTCTATCACGACAAACATCTCCGCTAGAGTGCTCCAGGGTCAGTACTCTCGCCGTATTTATACAACATTTACAGTTACGATATTCCTAAACACCCACAAATTTCCATAGCAGTTTTCGCAGATGATACAGCAATTATGACCCAAGCTTCAACAGTTATAGTTGTCCGGATCCTTCTTCAACACTAACTCAACCTTCTGTAAATTTGGCTCACTCCTTGGAGAACAGCACTTAATACTGAAAAATCAAAAGCAATAATTTTTCGTGAAGGACAAATAAATTTCACACTACCATGACCTCTTCTGCTTGATGAAAAAATTGACTGGGTTGATGAAGTTAAATATCTAGGAGTAATTCTAGATAAAAAATTGGCTTTTTAGAGGCATCTTCAAGAAAATGTGCAGAAAATTATTATCACGCTTACAACTCTGTTCTTGGCAGAATAAATCATATGGCTACTTCAGATACACTCATCTTATACAAGTCTATATTTTGACCAGCATCACTCTATGCTAGTCCTGTCTGAGACCACGTTGCCAAAACTCACCTTCAACATTTCCAAGTTTTTCAAAACAAAGCGCTCAGAGAGATTATCAACGCTCCTTGGTTTCTTCCAAATTCGTATATGCATCGTGATCCCAAAGCGGACACAATTCAAAATTATATTAAAAAACTTGTCAGAAATTTCTTCTGTTCAGTTCTCACTCATCCTAGCAACTGCATCAACTCGCTTAGATGTTCTCCATTTTCCAGAGAAAAATATAAATATACATCTGACATTCTCTATCCTTAACTTTTTTTATTCATACTAGACTCTTCTATACATTGATTTTGACCTTCCACCAGAAACTCACTTTCTTCGTCGACTGATTGATGACCATTTGATTTAATACTTTCGTCTTATTTTATCCACACTGTTCATTTTGTTTTACTGATGGTCTTCACGTGATGCAGAGTAAAAGGAAGCACTGCTTTTTGAAACTCTAAATTCACTACATGTTCTTAATAGCCTACTTTTCTTGTTAGCTAGGACTGTTGTAATGCTTTTTTTACAGGAACGTTTTCAAAAATGTATAATGTTCTTGAATAGGCGTACTTACTGCTCCACTTTACCTGTGTTTGCTTAAAATTGTTTGCCAACAAAAATAAAGAAATATTAAAATCTACATTACTGCAGCGACGTCTTTATGCATTAGCTGTCATTGTTAAAAACTATGCCATTGACAGCTGTCTTCAATATCAAAATTATTTCATATGTGTGTATAAAAGTATACCTTATTTCCTGGCATATTCCCTGCCCTCAACTTTTTAACACTTTGTATATTCGTAAACGTACCTTTTGAGTTGCAAAAAGAGCCTTTAATGACACATGTATGAATAAAAAATTAAATTGTGATTAACCATCGTTTTTTCAAGGCACTAGATATCAATTCTCTACGTTTGAACGAATTTATAAGTGACTAGTTATAAAATTTGTTAGAAAATAAAATAAATTCGGATGAGAAGGAAAATAAATTAGATGAAAAAATTGCTTTTTTTTTCCGGAATTTTTGTAGCACATTCTTTTTTTGTATTATTCAATTTAAAATATTTTTCACGATCAAAATTTCTTTCAAAATAAAGTAATGTCAAAAATTGTTTAAAACAC